ATATTGTAAAGAGCGGGCGAGCATTAGAAATTTGAAAAAAAAACATTTTTTTTTACATGTATTTTAAATGGGAAAACTTTAAATTGAAACTGCAAGTACTTAAAATTGATATTAAGAGCTCTACCTTGGTGAAATTTTTTTTTTCTATAGGTAGATTAATATTTTGCTTGAGCACCGAAAAAAAAAATAACTTTGCAGAAATGAATCACCCTAATATATATATGTATACATATATACAGGGTGAGTTATTTAACTTGAAACAAGCAAGCACACGAGAATTATCTAGAGATTTGGGAATATCCCAGAGCAGTGTTGGCAAAATATTACGAAATAAATAAATAAATTTAAAAAATAAAACCAAGTATTTTATTCAAAAATTATTGCAGAATAGTATAAGAAGAAAAATCGAACAAAATTTTTCATTACAGCGCCATCTATTACAAATATGAAAAAAATGTTTTAGACAAAATCTACCCATTTTTAGTCGAATGAGAACCAATTTTAGTACTGATTGATTTCCCCCCTCGAATCATTTAATTTTTATTTTAAACTTTTTTCGTAAAATGCATACTAACTGAGATATAATATATAAGTTAAATGACTCACTCTGTATTATTCGGATTTTAATATCAATTACGTTTTTAATTTAATATATTAAACTTCATTGTCGTCAAAACTCGACACTGAAGTGATTGATTAAGGCATAGTCACATCAAAACTTTTATGAAGCTAGTAATAAGTTGTAAGGCGTTAGCCGATTTCATTATTCACTGTGATTTGGACCAATCGGGAGAATCTGTACCGCCCCTTGTATCGAATTCAAAATTCCACATCTGTCAGACGATTCTAACCTCACTTTCTACTTTTATTAAGTGTGCGTTTTATGTGTTGTTTAACAAATAAAATTGGCTATAAATTTCGAAAAACATTAGTTACAACTAAAATATAATTATTATCTTCGACTTTTGGATCTTAAGGTGCATTTCTTCGTAAATAATAAAAATATTATTATTAAAATAATAAATTAAAAAAAAAATATTTTCCCAAACTTTTTATTAAAATCCAAGATAGCAGTAGCAGGGCTCCCACGGCTAAATTACAGTTTTTTTTTAGGAAATTAGGAGGTTTTTTGGAAAATTTTAGGAGAATTTTAGGAGAAATAAAGTATGCAAATGAATTTTTGTAATTAAATAAAAAAAACTACATTGTACTTAAAAAATAGGAAAAAAATAAATAAGTCTTTTTAACAAAACTATAAAAAAATATCTCTTTGATCCCCTATAATGTCGCCCCCTTTAACTTTTTTATTTTAAGTCTCCCAAAAAATTTAAAAGTGTGGTTATGTACGTACTGAAAAATACTTTTTTTATGTATAAAAAAATTGGAAATTGATTAGTATACAGGAAAAAACAAAAAGTTTATTTTTTCTCAATGAATCACCCTATATATGAATTTATTTTTCGATTCCTTGTAAAATTCTAAGCATAATTCTTATAATATACCATAAACCTAAATACAAGCGTTTCTGAAATATTTAAATTATTTTTTAGATAATAAGTTAAAATATTTTGTCTTTCTCTGTCTAAATACGGAATTTTTATTTACTTACTATTTTAATAAAATAAATAATAAAAATTTAAAATCGAATAAAATCTGTAATATTTGAATTTTTTAAATTTGTCGATAAATTATAGTAGATAATAAATTGCACCACTTAAATTTGAATAATCTTAAATAGGGGGGCCTGGAGGCGGGTGAGGCACCAGGAAAAACTAACTTTTTTTCGCAAACTTCAATTTAAATTCTGTTTGCGCAAATCTTATTTATTTAATGTCATTATAAACTATTATAAATTTGGTTTGGGTCCCATGTCTAATAACTGAGATATTGGTATACCCAAAAATTACCAGCCGCCACTGAAATAATGGCATTAATGCACAAAACATAGGCGGTAATTTACTGTTTTAAGTTCAGCCACGACACGATATTTGACAAAAGTTCGTGTTCGGCTACAATCGGAACCGCTTCCACCAATCAGGCATTGCATTCCTAAAGAACGAAAGTACCTTTTTTACATGTTTATAGTTTTGAGCGCCTTTTATTTTTGACAGTCATCACGTGTTAATAATTACTATCTTACTTAAAAAGTCAGTTTCATTAATAATATTAAATTTAAGTAATTAAACAGTCAGGTTGGCCTATTTATATTAAATTTTTAGGAGTTTTAGGAGATTGCCGGCCATTTTAGGAGAATTTTAGGAGTTTTTAAGATTAAAGCAAAATTTTATGAATTTTATGAGTTTTAGGAGGTGTGGGAGCCCTGCAGTAGTAGGAGAAAACTTTATCTGTAACTTTTATTAATAAAGTTTATACAATTGTGCTTGTATTTACTTTGTTGGTTTTTATTTCGCCACATTAATATCATCCGGCATTGTTAGATAGATAAAAATGCGGATAATACTTTTTAAATACCCAAGACATAGTCATCGCATGATTTAGACGAACTATCTTTAGGCTTATTTATAGCGGGATTAAATTAAAGTTGTTGGCAATTTAATGTTAAATTAGCTATTATAAATTACAAGAGATAACGTTAAAAGCACCATTTTACGTAATGACGGTTACAATTTATTTGAATGGTGGAAATGCTATCATATGAAATCATTTCAAAACCAAAATATATAAAAACATAAAGCTTGAAAAAAATGGAAAATATTTCTTAGTAAAAATATATGCTCTATGAGTTTTTGTTTTAAAGTTAAAGGAAAAAAATAGTAACCTACCTTCAATTGGTCTACAAGTTAAACCTTAATAAACTAAATACCTACACAGATATTAATACAACAATAAGAGTTTTAATAATAATTTTTGATTTAATTTTTTAAGTTAAGTAAAAATTCCAAACTATTAAATAAGAAAACATTATAACCAACTACTTTTCTAAACTTTTACAGTGAGCCAGAGCAATATTAAAAAAAATCTATTGACAAAAAATTTATGTAACACAATTGTGTTCTTAATTAATTATTTTTAATAAAATTTGGATTATTTTAAGCAGCGACTTTTACTCTAAAATGTTATTCTGTTTAATGACTTTTTTGATTTTTAATTGCATAGTTTTGTGAAAAACCAAAAAAAGTAACCAAATCCAATTTTTTTTGTTTTTTTTATTAGAACATAATATAGGTAACTTCTAAAGTGTTATATTTGTGATAGATGATAGTATTGTACACTGTAATTAGCCAAGTAAATGTTTGATGGTTTATGTTAATATAGGTTTGTTATTTATCAGCCATTCCGGAGAATTTGAAACTAAGGAGCACAATTTAAAATTGTTTATATGCAATACCTTTAATATGAAATATTGTGCACGTAGTCTAAATTTTACATATCTAATATAAAAATAATATATTTTCCATTATTAGGCCCTTAAAACAATATTTTACTTAATGCGAACGCATCCTAACAAAATGTATCAAAACATAAGTTATTTAGCAGGCTATTGTTCAGTGATTATGTCATTTATTATACAACTGTCATTATTTTATTTCATTAAAATATTAATTATCAGAGTGTTTGGTGACGATTTTGTAAATCAAAATGAGTAAGTAGTATTTTTTTATTAACTTTATTTATTTTATGTTGTTAGTGTAGCGTCCGTCATCAAAAAGATGTAATTCTTAATATTTCTTAATGAAGATAAATAATTTTTGACTAAATTATTTATTTTTAAAAACACACATTTTGCCTCTTGTCAGTATATTAAGCTTTTTTTGATATCTCAAGAATCTATCTTTTTTTTTAATTAAACTTTTTTGTAGCGTCCGTAAGCAAAAAATGTTTAAGTAATATTTTTTTAGATTTTTCATTTATCTTGTTTTACTGTTAAATTAGACTAAATTAAAAACACACAAATGCTCATTCTAACCTTGTTTAAAGATTTTTCGAGAGATTTTTATACCGGTGGAATATTTTTTACAGATCAAAAGGAGAAGCGCATTAAACAAAACAGAATTGCCGCGCAACGTTATCGAGAAAAAAATAAAAGTGACGAAATTACAAGAATTGCACTTTTAAAAAAAGATGCCGAAAATAAAAAAGTTGAAAGAGTAAAGAAAAAAGAAAAGTTGCAATTTGATAGTCATTTACGAAAAATTGAGAAAAAAGTTACTGAAAGAATGAGGCGTTACATCAAACATTAAACAAATGAGACAAAATATTGAGCAGTCTTATAGTCCTTACAGATGTCCTCAAACGTTGGGTAAAGCTTCAAAAAAAGTTAAAAATAATATTATGTTACCAGGAAGTCCTCGTAAAAGAAAAATTGTAGTGCAGAAGTTAGCTTTACAAACTATCCCCGAAAAGTTGCGTGACGAGAAGCCCACAATAATTCATGGACTTACTACATCTACTGAAGATGTTAGACTGTTACGAATCGTGTGTTGTATTTAAGTAGTGGCATATTTTACTGTTAAATGTAGAATTTATTTGTTTAGTGAAGTTTTTGGTTGTTTATTTGAATTAAATTGAAAAATAAAAGATTAGCAATTTGGTGGAACTTTTGTAGCGTCCGTCATGTAGCGTCCATCATCACATATTTCATGTACTTATATATTATCTATTAAACTAAATACAAAATAAAAATAAAAAATATTTATCTAGTCCAATGCTTAATATATTATAATAAAGTTTAAATTTAATCCCTTATCAATTTGCTAATATTCAGGTGAAACATAAAATAAATTTATTCCACTTCCATTTTTTGTAGCGTCCGTCATCTAAGTTTAAAAAGTAAAATCTTGGAATCCCTAAATGTCACATAATTATTTTATATGTTATTTTTTTTACCTCATCTCCACTTTCAATTTTTAATATTAGCTTTAAAATCAGTTTTAGTTTTTGGGCATTTTTTTTTAAATATTTGACAAGATTTTGGTCAAATGGTAGCGTCCGTCATCATGAAATGGCTGTTATACTAATCTAAACTAAAAGTTACTTACTTGGTATAAGGTGAGCGTATCTGTTGCGAGTAATATATAATTAATACTACTGTGAGCACAATAATAGCAACCACACATTTTCTTAAACTGGAGGGACGTAGCATCCAATTCCTTATTTGTCGACAGAATGAATCTCTGTGGTAAACTCGAGTAACACCTATTAGGGGCTTTGTGTCATCCCCCATTTTTTTAATCACTTAATGGCATTAATATTGACTTGAATTTATTATGGCACACTTAATATTTAAAGGAATGTTTTACAAATTGTTTATTATCTATGTTTGTTAATTGTTCTCCATTTAATATGCTTCCAGATTTCTAAATTATTTAGCATTGTAAATTTTGTAATTCTTGGCGTACACTGCACTGCACTGAACATTATAGCTTTTAAATCCTTTACATGGCAAATACATCACTTAAGACTTTATTAACTATAATATGACCACAAAAGCCCTGCAACAAAAAAATAATATAGTTATAATATATAACTTTCACATAATTATCCAACACATTTATTAGAAATGCAATAAAATTACACTCGTATTTTTAAAAAAATGTATCACTGTAGGTAACTATTAATAAGAAGGTGGGTTTTAAATTTCCTTGAATGGCAATAAAAGAATAATATAACCCTACATCCTATTCAACAAGAAACATAAATAAACCATAATTACCTCCTGTTCCTCACAAAATTACGATTTTTTTTACATATTTGCGTATGGACCAAAACAAACCATTTAGCATACAAAACACACGTCCACAAACTGAAGTTGAACCACAGAATAAAGAACTTTATTCTGTGGTTGAACGCAGGGAACTGTCACTCCATTATCATTTTAGGAAAAGCGGCTAATTTCAGATCGGTGCGCCGATGCGAGGGTGTACTACCAGCGACATGAAAACTAATAGAGAGAGTTTTGATTTTAATCACCAGCGACATTGAAACAGTTAGAGCAATAAACAGTAAAAAACTCGAATCATGTCAACCTCACAATCCATTGTGATTGTGGTCAACCTAATTTATCAAGAGTTTTTATTTTATCTTGCGTTAAATAAATGAACCGTTAAATGTAATAAACATGCAGTCTGGTTTAAAACAAAGAGAACAAAAGCATAAAATTTAAATTATTTAATGTTGTTTTATAACGTTTGTGCATGATTAAATTGGTTAAGCGTTGTTCTTGCGGTTAAATTGCTAATGAAATTATTGTAAGGTGTCATAGAAAGTGATGGTGTTTCAATAAAATTGGAATTAGCTGTGTACCTAAACCAACCGATTGTCTTTTATTAGATAATTTTTTGTCGGGCTTTCTTAAGCACCTTTTGGTTTAGACCGTGTTCAAATTAATTATTTCCGGTGATGCGTATTTCGAAATTTCTTTTACATTTTGTATAAATGTCAATTTTTGATGCGTAAATTTCTAGTATTTTTAGAATATTCGCACCAACAACATGAGGGGGCTCGTAATATATTTTGTGAGTTGATTTTTGGTTAAGTGAAGTGATTTTTTGCAGTTTTAAAAAGTTTTTTAGGATCTTAAGAAAGTATTTTATAAAACTGTTGATTATGGCTTAATTTTATATAAATTTAAAAGTAGTAGGAAAATACATAGGTATATATTCGTTTTAAAATTAAAATGTATGCAACATATAAATATATTCATCGTAGGTACTAGGAATGTTTATCAACGCATTTTATGTGATCATATTTTAAATGATCAATTAAAGTAATTTGAATAATATTTTTAATACGAGTTAATATATTGCAATGCGTGACTAACTTAAGAATCGTGGATAATTTAATTTAATTGAATACACTGCAGTTAAAAAATAGAGTAGGTCAATATTTAATTTTTCTGGTTTCTGGTATTTTTGATTAAAACGGCAAAATAAAGGTTTAAAGCTGTCATATTTTTGTGTTACTTAGATTGGCAGTACGAAATTTGAAATTACCATTATACTGTAATAATCTATTTCTAAAACATCAGACATCAGACTTCAACATGTTCCTATTTTGACTTAACCTCAAAACAAAAACACATCTGTCAAAAATACCATTAAGGTTAGTTCACACTACGATTCGTTTGTAAAGTATTAATTTTTGATTTGATAGTGGGACAAAATAATAAGTGGAACTCGTGAAGAATTATAATTTCTTTATTAATGTGTCATTAATAAGTATAATAAATAGGTACAATAATTGTTATTGTCATGTGTTGGCTAAAGGTATAAGTACTACCCAGTGGGTAGATACTCATAAAGTTGCTTAGCATAACTGAAGCGTGGTAATTAAAAAGCCTCTAAGTGCCACTGCAGTGCTAAACAAAAAGGTGGTAACTAATGCATTACTTAATATTGTTTAATACATTTGTGCTTTGTACGGCAGCGGCACTTAGACGTTTTTGAATTACCACGCTTCAACTAAGTACGTGATCAACATAATATTGCTTAAAGATATTTGATAAAACTGTAAAAAACGAGCTATGCATTTAAATTTATTTAGAGACATAGGTAAACATATATCTACATTAGTAACAGGTAGGTACTCATGTACATAGGTTTTATGGTGTAACTCAAGGTCTTAACCCCTTAAAGAACACGATTTCAAAGGAGATAAGTTTAAAGTACGCAGCAGGGATTTCTACCTATATAACTGGGTAAACAATTTAGGCGGTAACCAGTGTTGCCAGATATTTTAAAGTCGAGGCACCAATTTTCGAGTAAGATATCGCCCAAAAGCGCCAACAAAATTGCAATCAGCGCCAACGTTAGATTGGTAAAATTAAAATGAAATTCTTGTAACGGTTAATTCGCAAAACGCATTAAAAATACTTAGGGGAAGGTGGGGGAATTTTGCGCGGTGGGTAATTTTACGCATAAACAATTCTTCCAGATATGAAGTAAATAATACATTTTTTGAATGTTGCAAACTTGGAAACGTTGCTTTGGGTATACGGGGACTAAAGTGTACCGCAATTAAGCTTGTAGCTTTTAGCTAGTGACCATGGTCACTAGCTAACTGTGATACATGTACGTTGATCTAAGAAATTCATATCGTTTCCGCTACGAGTTAAGTTTAAATTTCTGTCCAATCGCTTAAATGTTTATAACACAACTTTATATGATCTTTCCTCGTAATCTGGTGTATGTTTAAATTGTTCAGATTAACTTTTGGAAAGTTTTTTAGTATCACAATATTTTTCTTGCAATGGGGGTAATTTTACGCTGAAAAATTGGGGTAATTTTGCGCTGCAAAATTTGGCCAATATGGGAGCTTTGGTATACAGGAGCCTAGATTGTTCAGCATAAACAGTTCCATTTGGGCACACGCGGAGTGTAGCGAAAAAAAAAACCCTAAAACTACATATATATGTGACAAATGCTGCATGTAGAACAAAAAATTATTTTTAGTTATTTATTTTTGATTTTGTTTGTTTCATAGAGAAAATAGTTTTGTTTTATTTTTATGTTTTAATATATTATATATAATAATATTATAGAAATAAACGGTTTATTTAGATACCTACAAATCTTTCTCTATACAGCGCAAATTTTCCCACTATGATGCGCACCCTGATAGGTGGGTAATTTTGCGCAAATGCATTATTTAAAAAAATGTAGTTTTTGCATACCAAACATTTTTTTTTATATAAATTGCGCATTAGATACACATAGTAAACATAGTAGACTATCGCTGGTATTAATTGCAAAATTTCACATTTAAACTTAACAAAGATACTAGAGATTTTGCTTAGATGCGCAGAATTCCCCCACCTTCCCCTAAACACACCATTTTATTATTTGTATAGATAAAGACATTTTTCTTGATAGTAAACAATTTTATTATTATTTATGAAATATACAAAAATAAATGTTTAATATTATTAAAAATAAACAAAAAAATAAACATTCGTTATTTTTAAATATAAATAAATTTAAATATGGCCTACTAGCATTCAAAATAATAAGGAATAGAAACTGTTCCTATTCATTATTATTGTGAATGCAAGTAGGCTATATTTATTACTAATTAGTTCTGATTGGACAGCTAACTTTTTTCCATTTCCATTTTTTCCCAAGAGCCCAGTAACGGAAATGGGAAAAAAGTTAGCTGTCCAATCAGAACTCATATTTTAATTTCTTTTACTTGAATTCAAATTTTGACCGCACTTACCTCTAATTACAAAATTACATTTTTACACATATACCCAGTAAGTATATGTGTTTACAGTGTAAACTTTACACTACTATTATTATTATTATTATTATTATTATTATTATTTGTGTTATTTGGAAATGGGAAAAAAGTTAGCTGTCCAATCAGAACTCATATTTTAATTTCTTTTACTTGAATTCAAATTTTGACCGCACTTACCTCTAATTACAAAATTACATTTTTACACATATACCCAGTAAGTATATGTGTTTACAGTGTAAACTTTACACTACTATTATTATTATTATTATTATTATTATTATTATTATTATTATTATTATTATTATTATTATTATTATTATTATTATTATTATTTGTGGTCATCACAGCAGCAATCTGAAGATATATTTTAAGTTTTTTTAGTTTAATTCGAAGAATTTCCAAAAGAGCAATTTATTTTTTCAGAAATCGCCCAAATTGCGGTTTGCGCTTTTTATAAAAAACTAGGCGCAAATTATTTCTTAAAACCGCCCAATTGGCGCTAAAGCGCCCAATCTGGCATCACTGGCGGAAACCATGCAAGTAATTTTGTTAGTAGATTTTAAAAATATAAAAATATATAGGGTGTTTTATTTAAAATGGCAAAATTGATGTCACTTTCGGTTAAACCATTCCCCATAAACTTCTAATGAACCACGAATGTGAAACACCTTGTATATGTTTAAGAGTAACAAACTAAAAATAAAAGGGCAAAGCAAAAATGCCTCATCTACAATTGTTAATTAATAGTAAGTCATAAAGGACAAAAGATCATTTTTCTTGTTAAAAACTATAAAAATGAAAAAAATTTAAAAACAATAAAAGTAATGCTTTGTCCTTATATTTTTGAAATCAAAACAAAAATTCTTTAAAAAATATACCGAGTTTTTCATTGATAAACACAATATTATTCCAATTTTTTGGCATTATCTTCATAAAAATAATTTTAATCAAAATTTAATTGTATTTTATAGAAATAGAAATTGATTA